AAAGCATATTATCTATGCATGTTGTCTATATCACTAATAGAGAGATAAAAGGTTTAACAAAGGACTGGAATTAAGCTATTGATTATACCAGAAGAAGTAATGGTTGGTGTCTAAGAAGGACTAGGCAAATAAATGATCATATTATATATCTTTAGTCTTGTGAAAATGATGCGTATTAATAGAAATATCCATTAAAATATATCATGAAAAAATTCGAATGGTATCTGCTATACTATTATAAAAGTGGTAAACATTAATGCTGATATATTTTTGAGAATTTGCTAGGCAAAAAATTTCCATCACATAGGTCAAATTTTTTGGATAGAATGCAACTTGATGAATATAATGAAGAACTGTATCTTGCATTCGAATTTCAGGATCCCTAATACTATCATTACAATAGTCTATATCATCAGGAGAATGAAACTTTAAAAATACAAAAGATACATGATTAGAAGAAGTGTAATCTTTGTAAAAGCAAGATATATGACTTATCGAAGTTTCTTATACTACTGATTTTTTTTCCTATATTAAGCATACACTTATCAAAAAAGGATTCTTAAGTAATTCTTCAAGTTAGGTCAGAGAGAATTATTTTCTTGGCATTTTTCTAAGACAGTCTCGTTCTAGAAATTTTTTAACATTTTAGTATATCATTAGTAATAATTACTTTGAGATAAAAATAAAAAAGCTTGAGCCTGTTGATAGGCTTGTATATTCGTTGGTGAAAAGAATAGTGGTGGAAGACCGCATCTATTTTAGGCTGTGATTTCACCACTTTCCAGATTTAGGCATTTCTTTATGTGTCCAAATCAGACATTGGAACCTGAATTAAAAAGGTAAGTTAAAAAAATAAGGTTTATTATTTGTTTTTATTTTGATTTCCTTTCTGAAACTATGCTAAGCTCTTGTGCACATGTGAATGATATGTCAGTTTACTAAATAAAACTGGCAAAATTTCTATTGGTCACTCTTCTGGCCATCCAAAAAAATTGGCTTCAAATCAACGCTGTCATATTGGAAAAATTCTGCAACATAATCATTTTACTACAGCAGGCAAACTTAATGCAAAATTGGAAGAAAAAGATCCCAACCTTGATGTCAGTAAACGTACGATACGTTATGAGCTTAACAATCTTAGATATGTTTCTATTCTTCTAAGAAAGGTTCCTCTCTTGACCTAAAAAGTGAAGGATTTTCATTTGTCTTGAGCATGTGATCATTCACGATATAACTGGAAAAAAGTTATTTTTTTCTGATGAAACAACACTTCAGATATTTAAAAATACATGTGTACATGATCTCATAATGCATAACCAATTGCCCCTATAGTAAAGCACCTATTCAAGATTCATGTTTAAGCAGCAATTAATGCTAAAGGAAAAATCAGCATTCATTTGTTTACTGAAAATTTGGATTATTATTTGTATCGAAAAATCTTGGATGACCATCTGTATAACAAAGCGGATATGTTATACAGACGCAGCTAGGTCTTCCAACAAGATAATGACCCAAATACACCTCACATGATATTTAGGGAGACTTGAAAAAACATCTTTTAAGACTAGTTCTTTCTTGGCCTTCATATAGCCCAGACTTGAACCCTATTAAAAATATATGGGCTGTATTAAAGGGAAAGGTAGAGAAAAAGATCAAGTATTTAGTAGCAAAAAAAAAATATTACTTGCGATGTATTCCTTAATACAATCTGGCAGGAATGGAACGATTTTGATGACGCCATGTTACTTCAGTACATCGAGAGCATACCAAGTCAGGTTAAAGCATGTATCAATGCAGAAGGAGAATATATCAAATATTAATTAATAATATAAAAGTTGTCATTAGTATTGTTTTTATAAATAATAAAAAAAATATATACATTAAAATAAAGTTTGTACATACCGTCGAAATATGTTTCTGCCATTTTTTTTATCGGGGACTGTATATTATATTAATAAGATTAAAAATGCCAAATGATATAATAGATATTCAAGTATTCTCCAATGGCCTTTCACTTTACTAATCTGTGACCATACTAATTCAGAAAAAACTAATGAGGTTCTCAATCTCATGTTTAATAAAAAGAAAGAAGGGATATACTATATCAAGTGTGATGATTTACTACTCATTGATTACTAACTCAAGAAGCTGAAATATATGTATCTCAAATCGGCATTTCAGATAATTGCAAATAGTCTGAAGCTATATCATGAACATATTACATTTTGGACTTTGAAGTCTGATAAAATCGCTAAAGTGGATTCATTTTCTCTGGATAGAGGTACAGCGACTATTTTTGAAGATGTATGTGCTGATCTGAAAAAGTATAAAAGAAAATTATTCCTTATTTCGTTAAAAGGCGTCATTACAATGTCAGTTCAATATATATATTGCAGAGTTACTTTGACTGTCCAAAAATAATATGAAAAAATCTCATATATGTCTGTCTATTTAATAGATCATGCACTAGAGATGAGCTAGTCAGAATTATGCGTCAATACGTTAATGACTGGCATAGTATGATTAAGATTATTGATAAGCATTTATGTGAGCAAAATTTTATTGTTTTTGATCTAACTGTACCTCGTGAACATCCACACAGAATATGTTTTAGCTGAGATATACCAATTCTTAATGAGAATCTAACTTCATAAATGTCAGCTCTTTTTTTACTTTCAGCATTTACATCTTCAGATCTTTGATTTCATAACGCATTTTCTTATTTGCATTAACTTATTCTCTATATTCTTTTTCTATGTCATGCATAAATTTCTCAAAAGTTTGTTTATTTTAATCGAGTAGATACTGAAATAGTACTTTAAGCTCATTTATAACTCAGCGATTATTCTCTTATTTATGATTATTCTTTAGCGTCTAGCTCAGCCAAGTGATATTATCAGTTTGGAATCTATTATCTGTAATGTATATAGTTGATATTTCTTTAAAAGATAAAGATGTCTGATACTTCAGCCAACTTTGAATTCGTCTCTAACGCATTAATCTCTTTTGGTATCTAATAGCTTCATATTTTAAAAATGACTCTACAATTAGATTAATTTCACTGGTCTCTTTCTCAGATAATGGGTTATGCTTTCATGATGTGAGACATATTTATGTCTCATTTAATAGGAAAGCTGATAATTTTGCTAGCAAGTCAGAATATGTTTGATTAAATGCTATTATATATTTATACATTGCATAAAAAAATGGAATTTCATGAAATTTCAAAAATAATCGACCACTAGGGCACTTTATTGAAATAGTAATATAAACAACAATTAGATTATTTTTTTTTCAAATTTTATAAACTTTCTTTTTTTCATTTTAGTAGTGATGATGATCTTAGTGGAGAAGATATTATGAAGCTATTTTCTGTATTACTACTTGAATTAGTTAGAAGCATATAATACAGAAGAGATATATTAATGTGTAAGATATTCTATAATTATAAGTATGTATTAATTTTAAGCAAGTGAAATATAAGAATTGCATTTTACATACCCGTATTGTCAATAAAGTTTCAATAAATTTAAATATTGTATTTCCATTTATTAGCTGTATTAAAATTTTAACTATACACAAATTATAGAAATGATATATCTCATCCATACCTTGAATGAGGATATTTAGATGTATATTAGTTCTGGCGATTTAGATCCTAATAATACTAAAATCATCTTTATCAGGCTTGCATCCTTTGTGAGCCTAATACATTCCATTATTTATCTTTCTCCTATTATTTTCCTTTTTTTGTTTATTACAAATAATACAGGAACTTTTACCATAAATTAATTCATATGACCTATTATTACAACTAGTAATGAATATAACATCTGATCATTTTCCAACTCCTCTTTGATCTTTGCTAGCTATACTTTGACGCTTAACTGTAAAAATATACAGTCAACTCTTTATAAATACACCCTCCTCAGGACTAAACAAAAGTGTGCATTTATACAGGAAGTGCATTTATAGAAAAATATAGAATAATCGGCTGGGAAAATATGCGCATTATGAAATATCGCACCTATCATCTTTTAATTACATGCGCGGAAATTAAAATGATCAATTGCGCTGAGCTGATATGGTTTAGTTTTTTAAAAAAATTTTTTTTTTTGTATTTTCTCTTTCCCTCTTTCCCTCTCCTTCCGCTCTTTTTCCACTTTCTTTGTTTAGGAACAGCATTCTTGAACCCTTGGACTTCTAGACTTTCTTGGAATGTAAGTGTAAACTGCAACATTACAGCATTACCGCAGCTGTAATGTGTTACATAATAATATATAGCAGTATAATACAAAACGCCAGTGATGTGTATTTTATGCTTCCAATAGTATAATTTTGATTGGAAGCTTCCAATCCAAATGAATTTATTAGAGAATTATACTTCCAACCCTTCCAAAAGTGTTTCCAAGGGTGCTTCCAATCTTCCAAGTGCACATCACTGCACAACGCGATATATTATATTATTTATACTTTATTTTATTAGGTAATTTATAATTCTGATCGAAACTATAATCACATAGTCACGTGAGTGTAAAAAATTTTATATATACGAAATTGGAAAATTATTGCACGGTGTATAGAGAAAAGGGTGCATTTAGCATTAATTCCCTGACTCGGGACTGAGCTAAGTAGTGCATTTAAAAAGGGTATGCATTTATATAGGATGCATTTATAGAGAGTTGACTGTATGTTCTAGTAGAATAAATGCAAAAAATTTTGTAATTACATTTAAAAACATATTAAAATTAACAAAAGTGGTATCAAAAATATTTTTAGATATGTCTGATAGCTTGTCAATATTTATATTATTTTTCTTCTTATTGTTAAGAAAAATAATAGTTTTTTTTTCTTTTTTTTGTCAAGTTATTTAAGCATATCATCTGCAGTTTAATCAACTTTTATAGTAACTTCCAAAGTCTGGATAGTTAAAGAACTTCTAACAGTAGGCTCAGGTTCAGTTGTTTAGTAATATTAGATTTCTTTATTAATAGTTTATTATGGATGGACAACATAGAATGATCACAGTTATTATTTTTATTAATTGTTTTTCTTAGTATATTGGATTTGTAGAAAGAGTTTTTAAGTTAAATCAAGTAAGTTAACTCTTTTTTATTATATATATATTTTTTTAAAAGTGGGATAATTCTGCAAATCTTTATTATTTTAAAAGTAAATTAAAAATAAATACAAATTAAGAAGAAATTACAGAAATCTTATTAAAACTAATCTAAGATTAATCAAAAGAAGATTGACCCTACACTTCCTGAAAATCAAACTTAATCTAAGCTAATACTATCACTTTTTGAAAAATAACACACATAAAAGAGAAAAGAAAGGTGTGATCATTACTACACCAAAAATTTGACCAATAGGATCTTAAATGCTTCATGGCATCGATAGGATTAAATCTGTTAGAAGTAGAAGAAAGGTTAGAAGAAAGAGTGTAACCAGGAAAAGAAAAGTTTTCTTTTTTGAAATCAAGTTTGATATTTGAGGATTTTTTAAAGTTGTGAACAATCTGACAGCGATCTTTCCAAACGTAGTGAGTTGCTTCAAATACAAAATGCATGAGAGAGGAACAAGCAGCGGTGATTAGGGATTGAGAAGTAAGTTTACTGCAAATGAAATTTAAAAGGTAATTGGAAACAATTCCTTTAATAAGGATAAGGAAGTGGAATTGTAGATAGATAGCATTCAATAGCCCAGCCATTCAATTTCATAATCTTGTACATTGGTAATGGATTTTTGATTGTCTGATAATATCTTTCATTTGATAGTTAACAACAGAACACATCCAAATGTGATAGAAATCTTCGTAGCCTGCGTCAAAACTCTTTTTTTATTATAATCTTTAAACTTAAATTTTATGACGATCAATTTCATTTCGTACCAATCAAAATTATGATATTTAAAGATCATCTCAAATTCAACCAATGCTCCAATTATCTCCTCGGTTAATTTATATAATTTTTTTCTTTTTCTGATATATAAAAAAAAAAATTTACCATGAAAAATAAAAATAAAAAGAAAGTTCGACGGCCGGGGCCAAATGGACCACATCCGAGAATTCAACAAGTATGTGTATTATTGATATGTTACTTGTATTATTATACGATTTCTGACAGAAGATCTAAAATTTAGCAAGAGCGAAGAAGGAACAAGACAAAGAAGGTATTTTTAAATATTTCTAATAAGCACGTTTTTACATGAAACTTATTTTCTATTCTTGCAGCAAGATCTATCTGCTGACGAATGGGCTCAAGCACAAAAAGTTCTAGATCAACAGTTAAAAGAAATGGGTTTATATTGTAAAGAAATTAGTGGGGACGGAAATTGTTTGTTTCGGTATTATTTTTGAAATTTAATAAGAAGTATCTGTTTTATAATTCAATTATATTTATTAAATGCTAGCAATTTTTTCATTAAGGTCTTTGTCCGATCAATTTTATGGGAATACAAAACAACATTCAAAGATTCGCAAAGAAATTTGTGCATATTTAGAAGAAAACTTTGATCATTTTCAATTCTTTGTAGAGGATGACAAACCTTTTGATTACCATCTAGCACAGATGAAAAAGGATGGTACCTATGGTGGAAACATGGAATTAGTAGGATTCGCTCAACTTTACGAAGTTGATATAAAAATATATCAACCTGGGACAATCTATGTTATTGAGGGAAGTGAAGATAATAAATCAACAGAAAAAGCTGGAACCAAAAAAACCTTACATATCGCGTATGTTATCATGGCATTTTAGTAGATGATCAAAAACAATTTTATTTGTTATTGTCCTCTAGGATAGTTATTTATCTGTGCTTTAACGAATTTCAGAATTTTAATCATATGTATACAGTTATCATAATTGGGAACATTATAGTTCAGTAAGAAACATCCAAGGGCCACATGTAGGTGATCCGGAAATTATATCAGAGGTAAGATGACATGGTTTTAATCATACATCATATCACAAATTTTAAATTATGTTAATCATTTCTTTACTTAGTCATTACATTCAACAAATGATCCTGCCTCTGATACCGATAACCCTCCGAATTCAATTGAAAAAATGATCATGAGCTCTACTGGAGAAAAGAATTTGACAACCGTTCGTGACATGATGAAAAGATTACAATTTAACCATAATGAAGTTATTAATGAAATAATAGAAAGATCGCAAGAAAATTCGATTACTGATAATGGGTCTAATTCACGTGAAGTTGAAAAGGGTTAGTATGATTCTATATAGTATGATTTAATTTAACAATTAGGCATATTATATTTATTTTTCATTATGTGTTAGATGCATACACACCAGAACAGGAAGAAAATTTGCCTATGGAAGGTTCTCCTCAAATGTATATCGATAATTTATCTAGCGTTTCATCCCAAAGCAAAACCACAATACAGCCTGATATAACGCCGAGAAGAGATCAAGAAACTTTAGATGTGAACATTAATGCCAAAACTAGAAATACCATAAATTGTATAGAAGTAAGTGATTCACCTAAATCTAAGAAGAAGTTGAGAAAAATGCGTAAGAAACGAATGAAAAATAATAATTATAAGGATGTAAATAAGTATGAGGATAAGGATAAGGATAAGGATAAAGATAAAGATAAAGTAATATTTATTTAAGAATAAAATTAATAAAATTTTTAATAAATGATGCATTGTCACGTGTCAATTGTCATAAAATCATTTTTCTCACTTGAACGTCAAGCTATTGGGCTTTTTATTCACGTGGTTTCCCTTGATGACTAATCTTTAACGATCACGTGAATTTGAAACAAAGATATGGTATATCATCAATTGTATCTATTATATCATTTGTACTCCGCAGTCAATACTGTCAGAACAATTAAAGTTTTTTTTTTTTTAATTTTATTTTTAAGACGTCGATAACGGTTGTTATAGATAGGTGTATATAGGCTGCAAACTTTTCTTCAAAATAAGAGCTTTTCAAAGTCAGGACTAATCGGACAGAATTACGGTTTATCCCTAGTCTGCTCTCACCTTGGTTTACCAGGGAAGAAGGTGCCTCACAGCGCGTTCAAACAGATCTCAACCAAGAAATTAACGTTGAATAATTCAAATCAAATCGTCATCAAGGACGATCTGGAAATCGAAAAAACGGAAGTCAATAAGCAGGTTCAAGGGCAAAACGTGTACTTGAACGGTGTCGAGAAAAGTAAATATTTATTTCTCTCGGTTTATTTCTTTTATTTTTTCTGTTGCAAATTAGTGATACATACACATATACACTATTTTCTATCATTTTAAAGTGGATGATCTTACAAGTGGTTCAGATAGTGATTACACAAAATATTGGATTGATTGGTTTTTGTCTACTAAGGGAAATGAATACTTTTGTGAAGTTGATGAAGAATATATACTTGATCGTTTTAATTTAACTGGGCTAAACTCTGAGGTTCAGCATTATGTTCAAGCACTTGATTTGATAACGGATTCTTTAGGTATATTTTTAATGATATCACAATAGAAAGATATATCCGCTGAAAAAAATTATTATAATTTGTAGAAGAAGAATTGGATGATGAGATGCGTGAAGCCGTCGAGAAATCCGCTCGTCACTTATATGGTTTGATTCACGCGAGATTTATTATCACAAGCAGAGGTTTAGCTAAAATGGTACGTCAAATATTACAGTTAATTACAAAGGTGTAATATTGTTGTTTACTAAGTGATTACTTTTTAGCTTGAGAAATACAAGAAGGCTGATTTTGGCCGTTGCCCACGTGTTCTGTGTCATAACCAACCACTCCTACCAGTTGGACTTTCTGATCAGCCTTATACAAAGTCCGTTAAATTGTACTGCCCTCGTTGTGAAGATATTTATAATCCTAAATCCACTCGACATGCAAGTATCGACGGTGCCTACTATGGATCTACTTTCCCTCATATGCTCTTTCAAGTTTATCCACACTTGCTACCACCTAAAAGTAATGAGCGATATGTTCCTAGGATTTTTGGATTCAAAATTCATGATATTGCCAAACAACATCGTTGGCAAGATCAACAAAGAGAAGAACAACAGAGAAGAATCACCGTGGTTGGAGAAGGAAACGCTAATAGTTAGACTACATGCGTTTTTTTTTTTTGAGTTTTTATTATATTGTTCGGTTACAATATAAAACGATAGGATACACTTTTATCTTTATAACACAGATGAGAGATCATAAGTGTGATATTTGATTGAGTGGATTGTATGTGTTTATGTTGATTATAGAATGATTACAGCAATACAATGAACTTTGCTGTTTTTTTTTTTTTTTTTTTCATTTACCATTCCTTTTTTTTTTTTTTTAATTTCTGTAACTTCTGTCTGGTATTACCTCTGAATTTATACCTTTTATTCTTTCCGTTAACAAGTTGATTTCGCATCAATATATCATTATTTATCCTTTGTAAAAAATTCCCAATTCTTTTTTATTTTATTTTTTTTTTTAAAAAAAAAAAAATGAAAAAAAGAAATCAAGGCTAAACTGTTATTTAACGAAACATGCGAATTTGTTTTACGTTTGATCACGTTACTGAAGAAAAAAAAAAATTGTGGCTTGAATATAGAAATTGTGACTTTTTGTATTAATTATAAATAGATTGAAATAAAAAAATTTTTTAATTTTTTTTTTGAACTTTAGCCACGCCCAATGCTGCGGATATCGTAGTCACAACGACATAAGACAAAAAAGAAAAAAAAAGAAAAATTTTTAATTGAAAAATAAATATTTTATTATTAAACATTAATTTTTTTTTTTTTGAATGATACATTAATTATTTGTTGTTCTATTATTATTCTTATAAAGTTCACAAATGAATTATAAAATTATACATCTTTATCGTTTTCTCCTTTTAGTGTTCTTTTGTAAAGAAAAATATGCCAAAACGCGCATAAGAATACAAAATCCGAATAAAATCAATAAATTAGCAAACCAAGGTACGTCATTTAATTTTTCACTCTCCAATATCATACTACCGGGAATATAATTGGTTTGTAAATTTTCTGTTTTACATAAACTTGCTTGTAATAATGTTGATGATGGCGAAGCACATTCAAATATCGCTTTCGGTGTTTCAAATTGAATTTGCATGATCAACCCATATGAATATTTTGAGAATGACTATAAAAAAAGAAATTTGTTAAAATGTCAACCCTTTTCTTTCCTTTCACTTAAAAAAAGATAAAATAAAAATAAGCTGATTACTTACAAAGTATTTTAACCAAATCAAAAAAAATGGTAAATTTTTCACGTAAAAACCACCTAATAACATGGTCGAAAGCATAAATACCGTACTGACACCTATAAAAAAAAAAAAAAAAAAGTTTTTTTATTATTGGTCGTTTTTTTTTTTTTTTTTAAAAAAAAAAAGATAAAAAAAATTAATAATGTTCAAACTTACTCATGCTTTGTTGTACATTTAACAAAGTGGCTCCAAAGAAATAACCAAAACTTTGAGCCGTTAACGTGGAAAGTAAAATTACAAATAAGTGAGCTACGAATCTACCAAAATCTGGTAATAAACCAGTAACCCAATAAACTATAATGGTAAACGCTGCAGGATGGGCTAAACTTAAAGGCAATTCAGCTATTTGCTTTGATAAAAAGTATGATAATAAACGATAAGAACGTGATTGACGTTCTTTTGACAGCATATCTAAATCTAATGCAAAAGCAGATAAAGCTGACATTAATGGATGAAATGACCAAAATACACTTGTAAAGAAGAGCTATACACGTCATGGAAGAAAAAAAAAAAATTAAAAGAGATTATTAGAAATTATCGATTTTTTTTTTTTTAAACAAAAAAGAGATGAATTTATCAAACTTACATTCCCAATACGATCAGCTATATGTTCTTCTTTAAAAGGCATTTGAAACCAAACCAAACAACAAACCAAAGCTAAAGCAAAAGTTTGAATTATATCGATTTTTGATAACATGACACCTCTCCTTTGTTTGAAGGTTCTTTCGGTTAGAATTGAAAGTTGTTGCAAGAATGTAGCCTCCCAACGATGTTCACTTTTGACAGGAGCATTTATTATGTTATCATCTTTTGATTTATCAACATTATTTGCCCTATGAGAATATTTTTCGACGATTTGTTTTCCTGTTGGATCATCTTTAACTTGGTTTGCGTATGCATTAATTAATTTCTTCTTGATGTCATTATTGTTCAAAAGTTCCACTGTTATAGAGGCAAGATTTTCAAATTCATAAATAAAAAAAAAATGTATACAAATACAAAAAAAAAATCTTTTAGATCAAATAAAATACGTACGTATATAATCGGCAGGATTGAAGTTTGGATGGCATTTGTAACCTTGATTAGTAAGATAATTCACAATACCAGCTCTTTCTCCAAAGTAAACCATATGTCCATCGGCCATTAACATTAATTTATCGAAAACGTCAAATACTTGAGATGAAGGCTGATGAATAACCATAACAATGGTTTTTCTTTGTTTAACGGCTAGTTCTTTAAGAATTTTTGCAAGTTCAAGTGCCAATGAAGAATCTAAACAAAAAAAAAAAAATGATTAAAACAAGACGATTTTAATCTCTTGAGAATCTTCAATTAAGGTCATGATGCTTACCTAGACCAGACGTTGGTTCATCTAGTAAAATGACACTTGGATCCGTTAATAATTCAGATGCAATGCTAACTCGCTTTCTCTCTCCTCCTGAGACGCCACGAACTCGGTGGTCTCCGATCTTTGAATCAGCAACCTTTGTCAAATGCAATAATTGCATGGCATTTTCGACTTGCTTTAATTTATCTTGTCGTGACATTGAACGTGGAAGACGCAATCGAGCCTATATCGATTTAAAAGAAAAGGAAGAAATAAAAGGAATTAAATCAAGTGTTTCGCAAACCGCAACGTAATGATTGGCGCAGTACTTACGGTGTAACCAAGGGTGTCTCGTACGGTCAACTGAGGGAAAAATATGTCATCTTGAGTACAATATGCGACAAACCTCTTTGAATTCTTTGTTGGTTTATGACCATTCATATTTATCGTTCCCTGAACCCCTTTGCTTCCCACCCGATCTCCAAGAAGATTTAATAACGTGGTTTTTCCACAACCGGAAGGTCCCATAATTGCGAGAATTTCGCCTAATTTGGAAAAAGTAAGGTCGATCGTTATTTACCATTACCTAATTGAATCGTATTTTGTAGATTTATGATGATCGTTAAGATCGGGTACTAACCTGGATTGGCACAACCGTGAATGTTCTCTATAATTGATTGAAAATTATTACCGATTTCTATATCGGATTTTTCATTTTCCGAGCCGTGTGACCAAAATTTTTTATTTTCGTTTTGATTTGATATCGAATAATTTACGCCATGCCATTCGAGATAAACGGGATTTTTGACAGAACTTGACCCATTCGCGGAACTTTTTATTAATTCCGTTCTCTGTGTCGTTCGTTCTTCGTTCTGTGTCAAAGTGAGATTGCTATCCTCGAATATTTTCTTGATTATTAAAAAGAAGGAGAAAAGGTTAGCATTTACACTTATATACATGTTATGTGTATATACATTTTATTTAAAAATTAAATACCTTTGAAATCGAATTTGAAACCGTCTCAGCTGAACTTGAAATGGAATCAATTTCAGCGTCCGCTTCTTGAATATTTTCGACTTTAATTTGATCCATCGGGTTTATTAGGATTGAGTTTTTTTTTTTGTATTTGATGTATTTAATTTAAATTGTAGAAGTTTTTTTTTTTTTTTAAGATCTTTTTGTCGTTGATTTTATTTTTTTTTGAAACATTGGACAGAAAATTCAAGATCCTTTTTATATTTTTTTTCAGATCAAGATTTCTTGTCATTTTTTTTTTTTATAAACACGAATATTAAAGATATTCATTTCAATAAAAGTGATCACATAAATAACAGTATAAGCACATAAAAAAAAAATGGTCAAAAGAACCAAACAACAATAGTTTAGAAATAATTACCATTTAAGGAAAAGGGAAAGGGGAAAAAATTACTGTAATTAGTTGGGAAAGTTATACTCCGGTGAAACCTTTCAATTGGCACTCAAAATCAAAAATCTATAAGACAAAGTTTTTTGACGTCAAAATCGTCAAAAATCAATGATTATTATATTATCATTACAATAATAATATAGTAATCCAAATTTGAATTTAAATTCATTCATTTAATATTCATTTTGTTATGATGAGTATGGCGCAAACCCGCAGCGCTGCGGGAATGAAGTAATTTACCCTTCCCCGATTTAACCGAACAAACGAAAATGGAAATGCGAAACCCGGTTATCTATTTTTCCGATTGACACCAATGATTTTTATTCGTGCTCGTCACATTTTTTTAATTGTAACAATAAAAAAAAGGAAATTTTAAATTTCAAACGAATAAGAATTCTATACACCATATTGTTTAATAATTAGAAATTTCGGGTAAATTTGCTGAAAACCTTACCAAATTTGTCTTAAGTACCAAACAAATGATTAGTGATCAACAGCTACTTTTTTTGCCCGCAGCATGCGATCAAATTACATCATAAACCAAAACATTTTGTACAATTTGTAAGCGACATTTAAGAATTATGATCACATATCCGCAACAATCTATCGCGTATACATGAATCAAAAATGACTAATTATCCATTCATAATTTATTTGTTTTCATTGGAACGATTAAGCACATATGTCTAGTAATACAAAGTAAGTTGCCATCTTCATCCCATAGTTCTCCATCAACTTCATGTCTACTATTTTTCAAGAATCTTGATCTAAAGGATCCGGCAACCCATTGACCCTTTGGCAAATTTTTAAATTGAATTTCAAATGTTAAAGTGGGAAACCAATAAATTTCCCCTAAGTTGTTTTCGAGATATTTCGTAGTTGGCGGGAAAATAAAATCACAAAAGGCCCTGTCATTTTTTTAAGAAAATTTTTTTTTATTAACCCGTAATCAGAAGTTGTACTGTAAAAAAAAAAAAAAAAAAAAAAAAAACGAATTTGGTCAACTTATTTCTTACCCCATTGATATAACGTCCAATTGTCTTTCGTCGGTGAATTTTATCCAGTGCTTCCTTTCAGCCCT